CATTTGCCTTTTGCCAAACATCTGTCATACAGGTATGGGTTATGTCTATTCAAAGGTAAGGAAAAAGTTCAGAGAGGCTCCATGATTTAGCCAAGTTGAGAAGTGCCATAGCTGAGGTGTTGTGATGCCAAGCCATGTACTTTATCTATTGGGCCAAGGTGTCTCTTTCAGCCATGCACATAGACCAGGTAGCCAGTCATGGGCAGGCCACATATGTGTCTGTGCTAGGATAAACGGTGAAACCCTAACTTCTGGGTTACGTTGACTCAGGGACAAACCTACCCCATGCTCCACTTTGCCTTTGGGGGTGGGGTGATGTTATTTATCCACTCTAAAGGGGGTAGCCTGACCTCTTCTGAGAGTCTAGGTCTCAGGAAAACAACCTTGTTCTTCACTTGATCTTAGCCAAAAGGCCAAGAAGACATCAACCATGTTCTTTTTTATTTTTTTTTGAGACAAAGAGTCTTGCTCTGTTGTCCAGGCTAGAGTGCTGTGGCATCAGCCTAGCTCACAACAATCTCAAACTCCTGGGCTCAAGCAATCCTCCTGCCTCAGCTTCCCGAGTAGCTGGGACTACAGGCGCTCACCACACACCCAGCTAATTTTTTGTTTGTTTCTATTTTTAGTTGCCCAGCTAATTGTTTTCTATTTTTAGCAGAGACAGGGGTCTCACTTTTGCTCAGGCTGGTCTTGAACTCCTGACCTCAAGTGATCCTCCTGCCTTGGTTTCCCAGAGTGCTAGGATTACAGGCGTGAGCCACTGCACCCGGCCCATCAACCATGTTCTTGAAGAACCCCTGCTAGGGAAGAAACTTCCTGTAGGAAGATCTGTCTGAAATGGGGCTGGAGGAAGGACAGACACATAGGAAGCAAACTTGGGCCTCATATGGAGCCAGCTTTCCTTAGAGATATGTAGTTTCATCTTGGCAAGGATTTTGTCTTTGTAGCTCTTTAATACCAAGCCTGTGTGTTAGGGAGGAGGGTGCATAGGAGTTTAGAGGTATTGGGGCAGAAGCCCACAGCTTTTGGTCTCATGCTGTTGGGAACTGGATCAAATTGCCCAAGGACACTTGGGCAGCCTAGGCTTGAGGAGGAAGAGTAAGGTCAAAAGGCTGGGCCTGCCTAGGGCAGGGCAGGAGGAAGTGGCCCTCTAAAAGGAGAATTACAGAGTTGTGGGCAGGGGAGCTGGGGCCTGTAGCAGGAAAGCCTGTGGTAGGAACTGAGATAGGCTTGAAGGGAAACATTGAAGTCTCGTGGTCTGGCACTGAGCATTGGTGAGTCAGCGTTAGCCAGGACTGCCCCCAGCCTTGGCTTTGTCCTGGGCACCCTGGCTCTTTATGGCTTGGATAGATAGATACCCAGCAGGTCTGCTTATCCAATTTACAGCTGATACAAAGCCAGCAGGGATTTGCAGCTGATGGGCTCAAGGCCCGGTTAAATTCAGAAAGATTACAATAGATTAGAAGAAAGGACAGAAACAGGACAAGGAGAAATAGTTATACAGGAGTGGGGTGACTTGGTTTGGTCTTAGGTCAGTTCTTGGGGTTGCGATTATCAGCACAGGTTTGTAGTAAAAGGGCTGCTGAAAATTTAGAGGCTGCCCAGGCTGCATTAAAAGAGGTGCGGTGGCTTGGCCACAATGGGAACAGCTACATTGTTCAGCTCAGGTCAAGACACACCAGGTGCTCTGTTTGGTTCTGGGAGTCACATACAAAAAGAGCAACAGAGGGCAGGAGGGTAAACATCTGAATAGAAGGGATCGTGCCCTAAGAAGGGAGCACACTTGTACTCTGTGATCCAGAGGCTGCACTGGGATTCCTGCCCTGAGATAATCAGAGGAATGGCCACTGAGAGGTTGGGCTTGCTTTCCCTTGGGGCCTGGGCCCTTGTCTGAACTCTTCAAGGCCTCTCCATCTTGGGAACAGACAGCCTTGCTGGGGAGGCCTGGTCCTCAGGGACCAGGAGGGCCATTCTTGGGCTCCTGACTTGCACTGATTTCCCGTCTAGAGTGTACTGTTTGGAATGTCCCACCTGCTCTGACTTCTAGCCTCCTTATCCTTTCTCCAGCAGGTGCTGGACTATTTTCTGAAGCTCCAGTACTGTTGCTGAATACATGCTCTGAGCTTCAGAAAAATCAGGGGCTCTAGGACTGTTTGGTTCCACCCTAATTCATCCTAGACCACCAACTTAGCTGAGCTCCCAAAGGTAGACAGGCACTGAGTCTTACCTGACATTCCATAAGGCTGGGCACTGTGGAAATTTTTTTTTTTTTCTTTTTTTTTTGAGTGGTGTCTCGCTCTGTCACCTGGGCTAGAGTGCAGTGGCGTCAACCTGGCTCACAGCAACCTCAAACTCTTGGGCTCAAGTGATCTTCCAGCCTCAGCCTCCCGAGTAGCTGGGATTACAGGCGAGCGCCACCACACCTGGCTAATTTTTCTATTATTAGTAGAGATGGGTTTCGCTCTTGCTCAGGCTGGTCTCAAACTCCTGAGCTCAATTGATCCTCCCACCATGGCCTCCCAGAGTGCTAGGTTATTCCTTATAAAAATACGTTAGTGTTTGAAAGTCAGAGCTGGGCTGAGGAGAGAGCGTAGGAAAGGCAGTCCTGGACTGACTTCTCCCCCATGGCCTCTTCTAGGACCGAGATGAACGGAAGCTGCTGCTGGACCCTAGCAGCCCCCCAACCAAAGCCCTCAATGGAGCTGAGCCCAACTACCACAGCCTGCCTTCCGCTCGCACAGATGAGCAGGCCTTGCTCTCCTCCATCCTCGCCAAGACAGCCAGGTGAGTGTCACAGGACCAAGCCTGGGGCAGAGCTCCTCCATCCATATTAAAGGCTGGGATCAAGGGAGCTGGGCCCAGGACACGGGGGATGGGATAGGTCCACTGGGAGAGGTGATTCAGGGTCCAGTCATGCTCTAATGGGCAGGTGGGGACATTGGCGTCAGCCCTGGAGCTGGTGCCTGGACAGTGAGTCCTATTTGTCCCCTTTGGAAGCACCTGTCATGTCCTCTCTGTCTCCTCCCACAAAGCAACATCATCGATGTGTCTGCTGCAGACTCCCAGGGCATGGAGCAGCATGAGTACATGGACCGGGCAAGGCAGTACAGGTGAGCACCTGGTTAGCTTGGGTCCCTTAGGCTACATGGGCACCTCCTCTCCCCTCCATCCCTGTTTTAACTTTGGAGCCTCAGCCCCAGTCCAGGCTTCTCATTTGGGTACACCGCAGGAGACTGACTGCAAGTCGCTTGGGTACCTCTGTAGGTATTCACATCAGCCCTGTTTACCCAGTGACACTCTTGAGGTGGCTGAGGCTGAGGGAGGTGGGCCTAAAGTGAGTTTGTGTTGAGCTGAGCTCCCTGTCATCCTGCTTCTCTGGCCTGAGGGAGTGAGGCTTGCCTGGCTTGTGCGGGACAGACTGTGCCTAACTTCCCACCCCCACCCCTCCCTTTTGGCCAGCACCCGCTTGGCTGTGCTGAGCAGCAGCCTGACCCATTGGAAGAAGCTGCCACCGCTGCCGTCTCTCACCAGCCAGCCCCACCAAGTGCTGGCCAGCGAGCCCATCCCTTTCTCCGACTTGCAGCAGGTAAGCCACCCCTCACCTGCCCCCACCTACCCTTCCCACAATGCCCAGATGTAAGGGTTCACCCACCCTGCCTCAGGGGAGGTAGGGAAGGTGGTGTTAGGGAGCCTGGTAGCCTATGGGCCCCAGCTAACTCCCACCTTGCTCTTTTACTTTTCATATCCTCCCTGTCTCCCCTCCCCCACAACCTTTATTCTTTCTCTCCCCTTTGTTCTTTTCCTTGTCTTTCCCATCTCTTCCTTTCTCTTTGGCTTCCTGTCCCTTATCATTTGTTCCTTTCTCCTTCATCGCCTTCCATTCTCCCATCCCCTTCTTTCCTGATCTCTCCTTCTCACCTGTGTCTCTGTTCCTCTCCTCCCCGTCCCCTCTCCGTCTCAGGTCTCCAGGATAGCTGCTTATGCCTACAGTGCACTTTCTCAGATCCGTGTGGACGCAAAAGAGGAGCTGGTTGTACAGTTTGGGATCCCATGAAGAGAGGGGTGCTTGGACAGCTCTTCTCCTCTCTTCACCCTGTCTCCACCTGCCTCCCCTGGCCCCCAGCCTCACTGCGGCTTATACAGTACCCTACCTAACCTGCTACTAATCACAGAGAAGAATGTGGAGAAGGAGGAGAAGAGTGAGGCTAGAAGCCTGAGCAAGTGAGGATGGAGCAAGGGAGGGTAGAACCGTTTGGGACTGGCTGTTGAAGCCCTGGCCCGGGTGGGGTGGGGGCCAAAAATAATATAGGGCCTGGTATGTCTTCAGTCATTGGGAAAGTGGAGATACCACTGGGGGTGGGGAGGTGATCACCAGGGGACCTAGGAGGATCTCCTCCCCACCCTTTCTCTTGGCCTCAGATTCACTCCTGCCCCCTTCTCCCTGACTTGGTGCTCATATGCACCTCACTGGGGTTTGTGACCAGGGTCTGGATGAGCTTGAATTCGAATGAATTGAGTTTGTATTTCTAGCACCCTGGGTTTTTATGTGTTTTTTCTTTTCGTTTGGTTTGTCATCCTCGATAAAGGAAGTGTATTCATCTGTGTGCTCGTTCCAGCACCTCTGTCCTGCCCACCACCCTACTACATACTTCTGGCTACTCAAGTCCATGAGCAGTGAGATGGGGGGAGGGGGCATCTTCTAGGGGCATTAAAGACAAATGCAGGAGATAAGGGTTCAGGGTGTCAGCTCTGAGCTGAGACTTGGCCTGGACTAACCTCAGATTGTGTAAGATTGTTCTTGTCCCTTCTCCAGTGAAGGGAATACTGTCAAAGGGGAACACTGAACAGACTTGAATCTGAGGCAGCTGTGGCTGTTGGAGGCCCTGCCTCAAGCTCAGTGAAATTACCAACTGTCCCTGGGGCTGGGAGGAGGCAGGTGAGGGGTGATGGCAGATCAGGCTCTTCTGGGAATACCTGATACGGAGTCAGCAAGCAAATGATTTTAAGTAGAAGATTCTTTTTGTCAAATGAAATCTTAAGCAGAATCCCAACATGTAAAACATGCAGTGAAACTACTCTGATCTGATTAAGGTGGGGAGCAGTTCACAGATCACAGCCCACCTTCCTAGCCTGTGATGGAGGCCTATGAGGCATCTCCACACACCCTGGTAGTCTGTGAAGAATTTAGAAATTACTGACCCCAGGATGTCTAAGCTGAAGAGTACAAAGGGGCCCAGAGAGCTAGATAAGTTTTCCAAGGCCATGCGGGAAAGCCAGGTGTCCTGTGTCCCAGTCCAGCAGGCCTTTCCCTCCATTGCCTCCCTCTCTCGGCAAAGTAAGACTACAGCTACAAGCAGTTGCCTTAGTTGGAGGGCATTTATTTATACAAGGTACAAGTGACTTCCGATTTGCTGAACAGCTCAAATCATTTATTGTCAAACCAAGCCAACCATCCTCAGGGCTTTAGGACTGTTGCGGTCCTGGGAAGCTTACAGTGCATTCTGCTTGATCTTGGCCTTCTTGGGCTTGATGTTCATGCGTTTCCAGACTTCAGCTGTAGTGCGGTCTGCTTTGGTGACCCCACTGAAGTCGAGTGTAGTGATACGGGGCAGGGTGCACAGCACATAATGCCTGTGGGGAAGACTTGGGCTGGGGCCAGCCCCCCCCAACCCCAAATTCCCTTCCCCCTCCACTAGTTGCTGCTGTCTTCCCTGACTGCAAGGAATGGAGGGGCTTGAGTATAGTTTGGGGGAGATCAAATTTATCCTGACTGATAGCAAGAAATGCTTAAAAGTCTGCTACTCCCTTCCAAGGTCCGAGCATCACAGAAGAATGGGCTTGGATTTCGTGTCTCTCTTCTCCCTTTCCCTCAGGGGAGCTCAGCTGGACCCCAGCTCTAGGGCAGGGCACTTACCTATACCCCTTCTGCTCCTCCATGGGGTTTCCATGGAGCGTGAGGCTCCGGAGCCGAGGGAGGACAGCCAGCTTGTTCACCTCGCCCAGGCGCTGGATGCTGTTGCCGTGAAGGTAGATGACACTCAGGTTGAAGAAAGTTGTTAGGACCTGTTGGGGAAGGAAACCGAGAGCCAGGCTGGACAGGACCCTGGATCTATGGTCAGGATTGACTCGCAGGCAGAGACGGAAGAATTTGGGAAACAACTTGCCCTCCATCCCAAACCCCACAGCCATACTGTATGACTCTAACCTACTTTCATTTACATTTCAAAGGATACAGGTAGGGCCAGGCGCGGTGGCTCGCGCCTGTAATCTTAGCACTCTGGGAGGCTGAGTTGGGTGGATCGCTCAAGGTCAGGAGTTCGAGACCAGCCTGAGCAAGAGCGAGACCCCCGTCTCTATTAAAAAAAAAAAAAAACCAAAGGATACAGGGGAATCACACTGAAACAGAGCTGTGATCTGAGGGTCTGGGTAACAGTACTGCCACTGACTTGCCAGGTGACTGGACTCCCGTGCCTCTCCTTGAGCCTTAGTTGCCCCTTCACTGAAGACCTTTTTAGCTTTGGTGACTTAAGATTCTATCACAGCAAGGGACAGGAATACAGAGTATCATGCTAGGCATATAAGAGAAGCTTTTAAAATATTAATTAAATTGAGGCCGGGCGTGGTGGCTCATGCCTGTAATCCTAGCACTTTGGGAGGCAGAGGTGGGAGGATGGCTTGAGGCCAGGAGTTAAAGACCAGCCTGAGGAATAGTGAGACCCTGTCTCTACAAAAAATAGAAAAATCAGCCAGGTGTGGTGGCATGCACAGTCCCAGCTATGTGGGAGGCTGAGGCAGGAGGATCACCTGAGCCCAGAAGTTGGAGGTTGCAGTGAGCTATGATGCCACTGCACTCTAGTCTGGGCAACGGAGTGAGAGCCTGTCTTAAAAAAAGAAAAATTAGTTCAATTGAGGTCACTACACCAGCGGAATAGTTCCCAAGTCATGCTCCAAGTCCTTTTCCCTCTGATGGGAATCCTGGACTAGAAGAGGCCAAATTTTGTTTATTTCTTAAAGTGTGAATCTGAGTTCACAAAAAGTAAGTGCTAAACTTTTACTACCTACCTCTTCCACATCAGAACAGCACAAGACTAGGTGCCCAATCACAACAGCTACATTTTACTTCAGCTTCCAATATGCCAGTTGGTTATCATACATTTTCATTTAATCCTCGCAAAACTTTTATGATGCTGGCATATTATCTCCATTTTTCAGACAGGGAGGCTGAGGTTTTGAGAGGTTAGGTAGTTTACCCAAAATCACACTGTAAGAGGCAAACCCAGGATTTGAACCTCCATCTGTGTGACCCCACAGCCATGTGCTTTGGACTATACCATGCTACCTCACTACTTCCCTGATAACGTGGGTGTGGAGAGGCTGGGGGCTGGACAAAGTGGCTGCAGGTTCCCCCTGACTGGCCTCCTAGGGCTAGAAACTCACAGGATCGATGGAAGTCAGGTCATTGAAGGACAGGTCAATCCAGGCCAGGTTCTGTGGGTACACTAGCAGCTGTGAAACCACCTGGTTGAAGTGGTTGAGGTCATTGAGGACATTGTTATTCAGCCACAGGGACTGGGTCAGTGACTTCCCCGTCTTTGAATGCCTCAGTGGTCGTAGCCCTGGCCTCGGCTCCTCGCTTACCAGATCTGTGGGGACAAAGTGAGGCTTGGATATATCTTTGCTTTTCTGGACTTTAGGGAGTGTGAAGGGACAGAGCTGGAAAGATTAGCAGCCCAAGCTATAGCTGGAGGGGCTGGCAGGGCCATAGCCTTGTGCTTGAGTCTACTGTGACCCTGCCAGCCATCAGAATAAGTTGGAACTAAGGGCCAAAGACTTCTATCCCAAACTCTTGGCTTTCCAGGTCACATAGTCTTATGTTTATTGTATCATTGGGTCTTTGTATGCCACCTCCAAGTGGGATTGTGGTGAGGAAAAACCACTCCCATTTTATAAATGAGGCAACTAAGAACCAGAGTTGTTGGGCTTGAACCAAGAGATGATAGTACAAAATCCAGAATTATCTACTGGTATAGAATTTACTTCAGTGGAACACACTCTAATGTCTTCGGCTTCCCTTCCATTAATGTTGAGCACCTATCATGTGCCTGACCCTGGATATACAATGGTGAACAAAACGACAGACTGTGCCAGACTCTATATGAGTAACAGGGCAGGGATAAAACAGACGTTTGTGCCTTGGAGGAGCTGATGTGGACAAGATGGAAAGAAGCTGGCAATCAAGTGTGATAAGGGCAATGTAACAGTTGTGGCAGTTGTGGCTCCTGACCCACTCTGGGAACTCAGGGAACTTCCCCAGGGAAGCCGAAGCCTGAGCTGAATCTCAGTGGCTTAGGAGATGTTCACCAGGCAAAGAAGGGCACGAAGGATGGTAACAGCAAGAGCAAACGTGGGTAGGGGTGTGTAGGTGCATGTGTACACGCATATGTGCAGGCACTGCCCAAGGGAGACAAGGAAAAAGGAAACAGGAGCCCAGTCATAAAAGTCTTGAATGCCAGGCTAAAGATCTTACCCTGTAGGTGATGGGAAGCCACTGGAATGTTTAAAGCAAAAGAGATTATTCAAATTTTTCATTTCAGAAAGATCACTCTGAAGCTTCAGTGTGGAATATGGATTTTAGGGGGTGGGTAGGACCAAAAGACCAATTTGGCTATTTCAGTCATCCAAGCAAGAGATGAGAGGAACATATGGCCAGCATGACTTGATTGACTGGATGAAAAGATAGAAGAATATTTAAGGGTGGTGCCCAGCTTTTTTTGTTTGGGTGACTGGGTGGATGCTAGTTCTATTAACTGATAAGGGATTATAAAAGGAGAAACAGGATTGGGAAGATGATGAGTTCAGGCTTGGCTTTGGTGTGTTTGAAGTTCCTGTAGTACAAAGGTGGAAAAGCCAAGTAGGCAGTTGGATATGAAGGTCTAAAGTGCAGGAGACACAGATGTGAGAATAATTGGCATAGAGTGTGTACAAGTTAGGGAAATAGATGAGATTGCTCAGGGAGAGTAAGGGTAGAGAGGAAAGTCGAGGAGGAAAAGGAGGTCCATTTAAAAAGTTAAATAATCAGGGAAGGAAAGGGTGAACCAGGAGAGAACAGTTTTAAAGACGTTCAGGGAACCTGTAGTTTATATGAGGAGTAAGTTCCAGGGAGATAAGGACCGAAAAGTAATTTTGGCAACTCAGAAATCCCTGGTAACCTTGGTAAGGGGCTGTTTCAATGGAATGGCAAGGGCCTGGGGGCAGAAGCCAGATTGGAGTGAGTTCAAGAGTGAATGGAAAGTAAGGAAAAACAAGCAGGTAGACTAAACAACATCCTCAGGAAGTTTGGCTGAGGAAGAGCGAGAATAGGGAATAGAGCAATGTTAGAACCCCTCAGTATGGAATCCCCCTGACCCTCCACTCCCTTCTTTTTTCTTTTTTTCTTTGAGACAGAGTCTTGTGCTGTCTCCCAGGCTCAAGTGCCGTGGCGTCAGCCTAGCTCACAGCAACCTCAACTCCTGGGCTCATGCCATCCTCCTGCCTCAGCCTCCCGAGTAGCTCGGACTACAGGTGCTCACTACCACACCTGGCTGATTTTTTTCTATTTTTAGTAGAGATGGGGTCTTACTCTTGCTCAAGCTGGTCTTGAACTCCTGAGCTCAAGCGATCTTCCCGCCTTGGCCTCCCAGAGTGCTAGGATTACAGGCGTGAGCCACCGCGCCCAGCCCCCTCTTCTTTTTTAAAATGAGGTTCAGAAAGAGGATGGACCTTGTCCAAGTTCACAGTCAGTGGCAGAGCCAGAAATAGATACCAGGTCTGGCTGAGGTGACTATATTTTTCTCATTGTCTCTAAGCTTTTCGTTACGAGTCTAAAGCTGCCTCTGGGGAAGGAAGTAGTTAGTGTTGCTAGCCAGCTTGTCTCCACTGTCCCTTCAGCTCTCTTACTGGACATGCCTCTCCCTTCCACCTCCACCCAACATTAACTTCCTCTTTTCCTCAGCTGCAGGTCAGGCAGCATCCACCAGATGGCTCTCTGCCTTAGTCTTGGAGTGAGCAGGACCCACAGCTGGGGCTTGAGGTTGCTGGAAGGTTACAGAATGAATACCAGAGCAGAGTACCCCAGCTCATGAATAAACTAATCCTGCCTCCCTCCCCACATCTCCTGAGAACCCTGAAAAGAAATGACACAGATGAGTGAAAATTAAGGTCAAAATAACCTCATATGTTCCTTCTCACAGGCCTGGTAATAAAATAAAATAAAATAAAATAACCTCATATGAACTAGCACCCAGTCTGATAACGTAGCAGCTTGAGGAATGCTACCAAGCATGGGCTGATCCCAAGCTCCAAAGGAGCCACTGGTGGGCTGGAGCTGCTGTTATCAAGGATGGAGTGAGCTGTCCAGGCTGCTACAGGTTACTCATTCCCCTCATTCCACCAAAGCACTACATTGCCTGAGGATCTGTTAAAGCTTCCTTGTTCAGAGTAAGCCAAAGCAGGTCTGAAAATTGGGCCACAGGTACCAATGCTCAGTGAACTGGGAGGGATTTAGCTCCAGAAACACCTAAGGAAACCTCGGAAGGGCTGCCATTGCAACTTTTTCCATGTCTGTCCCCAGAAGGCAGGAGTCAGTATGATATGAAGAACTTCCTTATATCATCTCTCAACCCCATAATGGAAGGGGATGGTAGGTGTGTATGGTGGGGCACTCCTTTAATACTGTAGGTGTATGGGAGGTTAGAGGACTGTTGGGTTGGTGGCAGTACAGATTAGATATCTTCTAAAATCACTGCCATTTCAGATCCTGTGATCCATCTACTGATTAATTTAGCAAATAGTGTGCCAAGTACCCCCAAACTCTACCCCGTCTTCTAACCCCAGCTGTAAATAAGTGTTTCAGAAGCTCCGGGGAACCTGAAGGGACTCAGCCTTTTGGGGCATTGATGTGCCTCACACACACACACACTTAGCAAGGAACACAGTGCCTGGCACATATATATATATGCTTAATAAATAGGCGCTCAGTAAATATTGAATTATTGAATGAAGGGCAGGGCATCTGTATGGATTATGCTTTGTGCTGTAGAGTTACCCTTCATAGTAGTAGCTTGTCTTCCTTCATTCTGAGGACTCCACAGAGTTACGTCTCCTATGGGTAGGAGGCATGCTTCCCTCCTGCCTGTCACTTCAGTTGCCTCCTATATAGCTATTATTGCAGTTAAAACCCTTGTGAGGCCGGACGCGGTGGCTCACGCCTGTAATCCTAGCACTCTGGGAGGCCAAGGCGGGCGGATCGTTTGAGCTCAGGAGTTCAAGACCAGCCTGAGCAAGAGCGAGACCCCGTCTCTACCAAAAAAATAGAAAGAAATTAGCTGGACAACTAAAAATATATAGAAAAAATTAGCCGGGCATGGTGGCGCATGCCTGTAGTCCCAACTAGTTGGGAGGCTGAGGCAGAAGGATTGCTTGAGCCCAGGAGTTTGAGGTTGCTGTGAGCTAGGCTGATGCCACGGCACTCTAGCCTGGGCAACAATGCGAGACTCTTGTCTCAGAAAAAAAAAAAACAACAACCCTTGTGAAACACGGACTACATCAATCAGAAGTGACAAAGTACACAACAAAGATCACAGTGGGTGGGTGTGTGCTCATGAGAGAACAAACACGAGCTACCCTGTGGCTGATGCTAACCCAAGTAGTGCCCTAAATCCAAGCCAAGCTTAGTACCATTTGCCTTCTTCCTGAGCTTAAAGGTGGCAACCAATTGCCTGAGAGAGAAAACCAAAGCCAGACAATGGGTCTATGACAGTGGATGTTAACATATTCTGTGAGGACAGATGTACTGATGCTTTTATGAAAGACTAGATAACAAAAGCCAGGGATAGCAGGATGTGGTGGTGTGCACCTGTAGTCCTAGCTACTCAGGAGGCTGAGGCAGGAGGATTGCTTGAGCCTAGGAGTTTGAGGCTGCAGTGAGGGATGATCACATCACTGCACTCCAGCCTGGACAACAGAGTGAGACCCTGTCTCAAAAAAGTGAAGACTAAATTTAAAAATTAAAAAAAGCAAGGGATGAGGCTCGGCATAGTTGGCTTATGCCTATAATCCTAGCACTTTAGGCCAATGCAGGAAGATTACTTGAGGCCAGGAGTTCAAAAGCAGCCTAGGTAATATAATGAGACCCTGTCTCTATAAAAAAATTTGAAAATTAGCCAAGGCAGGAGGATTACTGCTTGAGCCTAGGAGTTCAAGGTTTCAGTGAGCTTTATGATTGCACCTCTGCACTCTAGCCTGGGTGACAGAGCAAGACTCTGTCTCTAAAACAACAACAAAAAAACACTGGAAGTATGCAGTTTGTTGATAGTAAGACCCTCGTTTTTTACCAGTCAGAAAAAGCTTGTGTATCCAGACAGTGAAGATAGAGTTCTGCCTACTTGCTGGGACTCCACAGCAGCCTGTTTTCTTTTCACTAGTTTCCTCCTCTCTTCAGGTAAAAACAGGAGAATAAAACTACTGGCTGCCATAGAATGGCTTCCCCATTTTCTTACACCTGACTTTCCTGCTGTAGCCTGGGTTCTTTTGAAGATGATCAACTATCCAGAGGCCCCTGGTTCCTTTCAGACTTGCTGCTTTAAAACATCCCCCCACCTAAGACAACAACATCACATCTGCAAGCATATGGGAAGAATGTTTTTAGGCTTTTAAATAGAAGGCTGTGGTTTCTCCCTAGGGATCACACTGGGCCTGCTGCTGCCTTGGTGAGTAGAGTGCTGTGCTCTGGGGGCTGACCTTGGATGACATGGATGCTTCTGAAGGAGTAGTCAAGAGGGGGCTCCTGCACGGAAGTGTTCGTATAGTGCCGTCTGCTCATAGTTCAGGCCATCATTCATCAGGTATAAGCATGTGCCCTGGGAGTCTCGGGTCAGCCTGGGAGGACAGAGAAGGACAGGTGTTTCAAGGACATGGGGCGTCGGCCTTCCCCATAGCCTTCTACCCTCTACTACTCTAGGCCTGCCTAGCTGCATTTCCATTTAAGATAATAATCTTAAAAAACTCATTTGATAGTTATAACATCCATTTCTATTTTCCAGATGAAGAAACTGAGATCCAAAGGGTAAAAGGACTTGCCCAGAGTTAAGCCAATGAGTCAGTTGTGGACTGCAGTCAGTGTCCTCAATCCTACTCTTGAGACCCTTTCTGCTACTCCACAGTAGTTACCATGGACACTATCTTGGTACCTACCCTCTGTTGACATGAACTGGGCTATTCTATTGCTTAACAAACCCCTGGGGGCTTGCACTGAATCTGGTTGGTGTCTGACAGCCCTTCTCAGTTTGAGCCAGCTGGGGATTTGCTACCTTCTCTCCTCAGCTTGTCTGTCAGCCCCATTACCTTTCCATCCAAAGACCCTACTTTCAGCCACATCCTGAAAGTAGTCACACATATATTAATATAAACACACACACACACTCACATAAAACCAGTCTACCTCTCACTCACCTGTCACTGATGCCTGAAACTCCACCATTAGGGATTCATTCCTTTGGGTTTAGGGATTGTTCCCTGTTAAAATGGAAATCCTCCCTGAGAGGGGTGAACACAATGTTGTTATCAGTCTTTGCAATGAGGTGTGAATCATCTTACCAGATCCTTTCCAAATTCTTAGCCAAAGTAAAGCTGAGGACAGGTTTTTCTGGAGACTGGAAAGAGCCATGAGACTACTACTCACCTGGGAGGAAGAGAGGTGACAACACACTTTACCAAGGGGTTTGTATGTGAATCATACAAACGTAAGACAAACAGACTGACAAGGACAAAGATTTCTCTGAGTCTACCTCCCTTTTCTGATTCCATCCACTGCTGTCACCTCTGCATTATTACTTCACCCGCTTTCCAAAAGGATTGGAGTTTACAATAATAACACTCATAAGACAGGATGATTTGTAGAGTAGTGCTGTCCAACAGAAATACAACATGAGTCATAAGTACAAGCCACATATGTGTAAAATTTTCTGGTAGCCATAAGAAAAATGAAACAGGTGAAGTTAATTTTAATAATATATTTTATTTAACCAAATATATCCAAAATATCACTCAGCATGTAATCAATATTAAAAATTATTGAGATATTTTACACTTACAACACATCCCAGTTTGGATTAGCTACCTGTCAAGTGCTCAGATGCCACATGTGACTAGTGGCTACCATATTGGACAGGCAGATGTAGAAAATTAAAAATGGAAGAGAAAGATCAGAAACTGGATTAAAGGAAGAGCAAAATGTACCAGGGACTTTAGGAATCTAAGCCTATATTTAGCTCTGAAATCCCTGGAAGCCAAAATAAATCAGGGAAACCTTGGGATATGCATTTCTCATCACTGGGTTCAAAGAAGAATTACTTGTATGCAGAAACAATGAAATTGGCAAATATTCTTAAAATGGAATTTTTGTTAAAAAACAAGGACCTGATAGCTTGTAACTCAATTTAAGCTTAATTAAAACAGTTTAAGTAAATTCCTTGTTTGGTGATTTAACATATGTAAGGATAGAGTTTAACAAGTTTAGAGGACTGGAAAGCCTCTAGCTCTCAAAAAGTAGCAATTCCAATGGGGAAGTGTTGGCTTGAGTCAATTCACAGCTAAATTCTTTGTTATTGACTGGCCCTGTGGGCATGGGCTGTTGATTAGGTAGGCCTGAATCTTTTAGATATCAGATCTATAGGCAGACAACAAAGAACACATTATTCTTTTAGAAATAGAGGAACCTGGCATGTGTTTTGCAGAAGTAGAGGAACCTAGTTTAGACAGATGTCCATCCCACTTCAGCACCTACAACAGGGCCTTTGAACAAGATTGGATACTTTTTCAAAGTAAATCTGGGTTGGGACCCCAGAGTTCTGCATCACTGAACATGGATTTTGGCTTAAAATACTAAAGGACAGATTTTTACTGTTAGTTTCCTTGACCATTAGAGGAACCCAGTACAGTTCCTAAGAACTTCGGTTTTGTTAGCACTGGCTCCTGATGCATTTTCTGAATGAGTTAGTATGAAAAATGGTACCTCAAGGAGCTGGATAAATTTGCTGGTAGGAAAGGGTTATTAGTCTTCTCCATCTAAACAGTAGCCCAGGGGTAATCACTCTGTGATTCTCCCCATGTGCACGGTAAATAAACCTCTTCCTCTTATTAAAAAAACAAAAACAAAAACAGCCCAGGCTGTGAGCTAGTATTGTGTCTTATTTAACACAGAAACTGGTTTACAACAGGTACTCAGGAAATGTCTGTGGGATGAATGAATGAGAAACTGCCAAGTAAGATAATTTCTGTTTTGGGAGAGTTGATGCTAAACTGTTCTAACAATTGGTTCCAGGTTCAGCTGTTTCAGTCCACACCTCATTCACAGTAAGATATTCAGTTCAATTCTGCAAACATTTGTTGAGTGCCTGCTGCCCTGTGCCTGACCAGAAGGAATAAAGCCAAGATACAAATAATAGAACCCTGTCATGAGTACAGAAAGAACTGCTGGGTTTCTATTGATTGTGGCAAACCAGCCTGATTCCAGTTCCAACTAACAGCTGCCCACTTAGTGAATACTCTCATGTTTCAACACTCAGCTCTAGTGTACCCTCCTCTATAAAGCCTTTCTTTTCCAGATAAAATTGACCAATGTGCCCTGTGTTAGATTGATTGCTTTGATGATCCCTATTCATGGTCTTTCCTGTATCCATCCCTTTTTGCATATAACTTTATAGTTCCATCCCACTCTGATGCTGGGCTCAGCCACGTGACTTGTTTTGGCCAGTGGAATATTGATAAACATGAAGCAAACAGAAGCTTTAAGAGGGGGCTTGCCCTCTTGCTCTTTGCCAGTGCCATGAGAACATGGCTGGCCTGCTGGAGGGATATGACAGATGTGCAGGTAAGAGACATATGAAAGAGAACCAGTGATCCCAGCTGAAGCCATCTTAGATTAGCCTACGGTCAGCCTACCACCAGTGACGATTAGGAGAGTCACCCAACCCACAGATGACTGTAGACACATGAGTGAGCCCAGTCAAGACCAGAAGAACCATCCAGGTGACTCAAAGATTTAGAAACAATAATAAATGCTTATTGTTTTAAGCTACTGTGGCTTTGCATGGTTTGTTACACAGCAATAGCTAACTGATGCATACCCCCACTGTACTTTGAACAAAATTTTATCACAGCCTGTTTTCTCATTTGTGAAATGGAGACAAACCCTACCATGAGAACTGTTGTATATCCTGCAGCAGATGCTCAGTAAATGAAAGCAGTTCTCTCCGTACTCATTTCTTTATAACCTACTTTCTATTCCCTCCCTGTAAGTTTGAGGACTGGGACAAGAAGTCAGACTTCCTCTCTCTGCCCACCATTACCCTACATTGAACCTGGCAAAAGATGCATATTCACTAAAGGCTTGATGGACAAATGAATACATGGAAAAATGAAAGGAGAAATGAAGGAATAAATGGTGTCTTCAAGCTGTTGCAGCGGTCCCCAATCTTTATGGTACCAGGGACTGGTTTCATGGAAGACAGTGTTTTCACAGATGGGGGTGGGGATGTCGGGGCAATGATGGTGAGCGATGGGGAGTGGCAGTAAATACAGACAAAGCTTCGCTCATTCACCCATGGCTTACTGCCCACCACTTGCTGCTCGTTGTGTGGCCCAGTACCAGTCTGCAGCCCAGGGGTTGGGGACCGAAGATATAGAGGACCTGACGGCTGCAGAGAAATGACAAGGCCTTAATGCTGCCTTGCTCACTCCTGTGTCTGTGTTTTTGGAATCAGTCTTTCCCAGCTGCTGGTCTGGCTTATGACCAGGAGACGGGTCTCAGCACCTTTATCTCTCCAGACTGAATGACCTGACAGGATGAATGACAGGGTAGGGGCACACCTGCCCTATTTTGGAATTCCAAAATTCCAACTGATTTTTCTTTTCCAAACAGCTAAACATCTTTAATTGCCTTTTTTTATTGTAATAGTTAACATGATAGCTGAATAAAGTCAAACATAAAGAAGTATATCAAGGAGAAACTGAAAGTCTGAATGTCCATTAACAGTTTGGGAATATAACCTCCTAGAATGCATATATAATAAGATTATGTATATATTTTTAAAAATACTGTCTATTCCTTTATAAACCTATTTTTTCTTTTCAAATTGTAGACTTCCTTACCCTTTTAATAGCTTCAGAATATTCCATAGTATGTATCATACTTGAACATTATTTACTTAATTTAACTTTATTTAACCAATCCCAAATTGACAGAAATTTGTTTTCAGTTTCTGGAAATTACTAACAACTGGAATTTGATTTGTTGCTAGCCTATTCCTGCCCTCTCTCAGGCAAGTAGCAACATGATGGCACAGGAAGCTTTAAGGAATAATCAGATGAGATCTGACAGGAAATTCAACAGCTTGGCCTAGAGAGTTTCTGTTTATTGGCTACAGGTGGAAGAAAAATCAAATGCCATGAAAAATCTGCCACATAATCTAATATATTCTGGGAGATTATATTCCCAGGTTTCAAAGGGAAGCCAAGATTCAGCCTGGATCCTGCCCACCTCTCTACTCCCATTTCTTATCCTCACCTCCAATTCTGCCATCCAGGCAAATGCAACTATAGTAACTTCCCTGCACCTGCCTCTGGAACAGTTTCTCCTTCCAGCTTTCTCTGCTTGGAATATAGTTTCTTATTCCTTCCTTTTGCTTTGCTAATTCTTTTTTTCTTTTTTGGAGACAGAGTCTAGCTCTGTTGCCTAGGCTAGAGTGCTGTGGTGTCAGCCTAGCTCACAGCAACCTCAAACTCCTGGGCTTAAGCAATCCTTCTGCCTCAGCCTCCCAAGTAGCTGGGACTACAGGCATGCACCACCATGCCCGGCTAATTTTTTCTATATATTTTTAGTTGTCCAGATAATTTCTTTCTATTTTTAGTAGAGACAGGGTCTCGCTCTTGTTCAGGCTGGTCTAGAACTCCTGACGTCGAGTGATCCTCCCTCCTCGGCCTCCCAGAGTCCTAGGATTACAGGTGTGAGCCACCTCGCCCAGCCTGCCTTGCTAATTCTTACGTCGGGGCTCAGCTCAGGTTTCAACTTTTCTTCTTTTTTTTTTTTTTTTAGGGACAGGGTCTTGCTACGTTGCCCAGGTTGGAATACAGTGGCATGACCAAAACTCACTGTAACCTTGAACTCCTGGGCTCAAGCCATCTTTCTGGCTCAGCCTCCCAAGTAGCTGGGACTACAGGCATGCACTACCACACTTGGCTAATTCATTTATTTAATTTTTTTGTTTGTTTTTATAGAAACAGGGTCACACTATGTTGCCCTGACTGGTCTCAAACTTCTGACCTCAAGCAGTCTTCCTGCCTTGGCCTCCCAAATGCTATGATTACAGGTATGAGTCACCACGCCCAGCCTAAGTTTCAAGTTTTCTGAGAAGCCTACCCTTATCCCCAAATCTGGATGTGGAACTTCTCTTCTGGGCTCACGTAACACCCTATACTTATTGCCATGGTAGCACTCATAACATTATAATTATCTGCTTTTACTATTTATATGTCCATAAACTCCACCAGGACAGGAACCATGTTTTTCTCATAGTGGTGGCAAGTAATAGGTGCTTAACAAATACATAAAAAATTGCAACTGAGTAACAGTATAAAGGAGAGGGACATGAGGTTGCTGAGCAATCATCTTCAGGAATGACTTCCTAAAGAAGTAATTGGGAGAAATCTAAAGGATAAGTATAAATTTACCATAGCAGGGAGCAAAGATGAGCATTCCAGGCAGAAGTAACAGCTATATGCAAAGGTTCTATGGTGGGAGGGTACTTGAGAGAGGAGGTATGGTTAGACTAGAGGCTGGAGACATGGTAGTAATAGGAAGCCACAAAGTATATATTTAAATAGAAGGTGGGTGGGGAGAGTGAACAATATCAGATTTGCATTTGGATGGATTACTTCCACAGTATTTAAAATGGCTGGGAGGGAAGGCAAGAAAGATGTGATGACTAGATAAAACAGGAAGTTAAGCTGGCAGGACTTCATGATAGACGGGAAAGGGAAGATATATTAAAGATAACTCTCAGGGTTTTGGCTTGTGAATATTGTGGATAAAGGTGGGAGCATTGGAAGAGATCCAGGCTCGGAGAGGGTTGCGGTGCATAGAAATTATGAGTTCAGTTTCTGAAATGTTGAGTTTGCATTGCCTTTGAGATATCCTGAAGGAGATGTCTTGGTGGCAATTGGCTATACAGACCTGGAGGTCACAGATGAGGGCTGGGCTGGAGATACACACTTGTGTATATCTGCATACAGTTGGTAAATGAAGTTGCGGGTGTAGATAAGAGTACCCAAGAGGAGAATATAGCCTATGGCAGGAAACAAGCATAGAACCAAGCCTGGAAGAACTATGAGATAGTCAGTGAACCAATCAAGGCCAGGTGGCTGCCAGCCACAAGCCAGCTAATCATGGCAGCTTCATACACGGGTGCTGTGTTAGCCAGATTGCTTCCTGTTTAGTTTAGTTAACAATGTTCAATTCCCATTGTCTTCAGTCTCTCTAGTTCCTTCTCCCCATTAAAACTTTCAGGGAAGGATGTGAAACAGTGCTAAAGCTATAGAGGTAGCAAGCTCAAGCTAAAGAGACTTGGTTGGAAGTTGGAGAACTGGGTTCTAGTTCTAGCTCTGTCACTGATTTAGTGTGTGGCCTTGGACAAGTCACTTCTCCTCTCTGGGTTTCAGTTTTCCAATCTATGAAATGGGGATAAATATCCTTGACTAAGAGCTGTTATGTTATCAAAAGACTGTGAAAGCGCTGGGTAAGTTACTAAATGTAATAGATTTGTCAGGAGGACTGTAAAAGGAATGAAGCTCTAACTGTAGAGCTTCAAGAAGCAGACCATGGAGGAGGTGTAGGGAGAAGAGGTAATTTGGGGACAGTATCCTTAATGAGTGTGTGTGGGAGAATCCTGCAGAGTCTCTGAGAGGGGGTCTTTCTTCTTGGAAGAGGAAGGAAAGAGGCACTTCAAGCCCCATCAGGTCGCCTACATCTTCAGAATTAGGGACTATGATTTACTCTAATGCTACTCCTGTGTCTTGAAGAGGGTCTCAGTTCCTCCGAGGAAAACCAACCCCATGTCTGAGGGCGTTTCAGATTTCCCAGGGTGAATCCAGGACTTGAGGTATCCGTATTTGGGGGAGCCCATGTTTGCTTTGGGGAGGCTCTTAAGCAATCTCGAATCTGTATGGTATGTATCTCAGCTGCCTTCCCGTTCACTGCCCCCATATGCGTGTTGTGACTTGTTCACTGTGAAAAGGGGTGAGCGTTAGTGGAGGAGATCTCAGGTCCCCGAATTGAGAAGTTCCTAGTCTTTCCGTGGTGCCCCTTCCCTCTCCTTAGAGCTCTTGTTCCCTAGAGCAAGTTTCCTGTTTTCCCGCCGACTCACCAGCAGTTGCTTCCCCTCCTGCCTCGGCGTCCCACTATCTCAGGGTTACTCGGCGCAACTCCATGGCAACTATCGTCGTCACCACGTCCAGGCCAGCGCCGTAAGTGCTGCCGCGATGCCTACCGGGACCTGTAGTTCTTCGGGTCGCGGCTACAAGGCCGCGGGTAGTGCTGGGATTTGAAGTTCCCTTTGCCTTCATGTTCAGGCCAGGGTCCGGAAACAGTGACACCCCTTCTCCCTTCCCAGTGGCCCTCACACTTCCTTTTCCCGGGTCCTCAAGCGTGCCCTGCGTACGACAGCAGCCGATAGGGGCCAATCAGAGGGCGGTGCGAGGGGGTGGGGCCATAGTTTAAATTAATTGTGCGCTCACAGCACTGGCGCGAGCCCGGGACGAGGTGTGTGATCCGCGGGAATCACTAGACGAGGCGGGAGCGCGCGGCCAGGTAACCGGCGCGGGCCCGCGGCTGGCGTGTGGTCTGGACGCCCGCAGGGATGCCCAGGCCTAAAGGGGGTGCTGGAGAGGCCGGTGCGAACGGAAAGCCTCCTTCTTAACAGTCTGAGAGGGGAGAATCTATGGGGGTAAGGTTTGTAAGGAGAGGAACAAATGCGAGGAGGAGGAGCTGGGGATGGCTGAGGGGGAGGGTCTGTTTGGGGGCGTGTCCGTGGATTTATGTCTGAGCACGTCAGGGGTAAGGGGTAGTGCAATTTCCTGATAGCCTTGTAACTGGGGGGTCCTGTAATGGAAAGTCCTCGCCTATTATTATGAACAATAGTAGTAGTACAGTAGTAGTAGTACAGTAGTAAACATTTTCCGAGCACCAACTACGTTTCTGGCACTGTGCTACACCTTTTATAAGGCTCATCTTTTTAATCTTCTAACAGCCTTATTAAAGATGGGGACCTTAAGGTTTATAGTGTTTAACTTGGCCATGGTTACATAGCTAGTGCGAGGTTGGCTATACTTGGGATTTTGAGGGTTGAGCGTAAATGATGTCGGGGGAGGGGTTTGTGAGGGTGCGCGCTGTGTTGAACTAGTCAATTTATTTTCAGCCTCACTTTTCAAATATGTAAACAATGATCTTACCTGCCTAATATACTTACTGAGGTGGTTGTGAGGATCAAATCAGGGAAGGTGATTCATGCAGGCACCTTAGAGAGTACAAATTTTTGACTACAAATGATGTGACTATGTGAAGGCTGTGGGTGGGAGAGAGCCCAACCGGGTTGATGCTTCCTCCGTTGAATACCTCTTTTGCTTACCTCTGAGGTAGCACTTGTCATCTGGTGTTCTAAGAGTCTCTTTACATATTTGTCTGCCTTTGTAGATAAGGAGAGACTGGTTTTTTTGTCACTGTATCCTGATGGCTGATGTGGGATTTGAGACATGTCATGACCATTAATGTATATTAATACTTTAGAATGATGTGTTTTCTTGGGCTGAAAAGGGGATAGGAGTCTGGCTTTTCCGTCTTCACTTAGTAGCTTTTGAACCTCAATATTAAGCTAACCTTGCCAGGTGTGGTGGCTCACACGTGTACCCAGCAACTCCAGAGGCTGAGGCAGGAGGATGGCTTGAGGCCAGGAGTTTGAGACCCTCCTGGGCAACATAGTGAGACCCTGTCTCTAAAATATTTTTTTTTAAACTTAACTGGGCATGGTGGTGCGTGCCTATAGTCCTAGCTATTTGAGAGACGCAGAATCAGGAAGATTGCTTGAGCCTGGAAGTTCAAGGTTGCAGTGAGCTAGAATGGAGCCACTGCACTACAGCCTGGGCAACGGAGCGAGAGCCCCATCTCTAAAAAAAATTTTTTTTAAATAAAAATAAATTTAAAAAAATACAAAAGAAAAAAATAAATAAAGCTAAACTCTTTTCTGGAATGGCACTGCCTCCTGAACATGTGATTTTATTTACTTGCTTTAATCCATGCTTTCCTCTCTCTGGTGCCTGGTCTTGTGTTTCCAAAGTTCTGGGTTGTCAAGTGTATTACTCTGTGGTGGGCAGTAACCTTTGATGGTATGTGAGTTGGGGCTATCTTGTGGAGATCTTTACTGCTGTGAATATGTGGGAACCTGGCGTGAGCATTCAGATCAAGTAAGGTAGCTTTCAGTCAGCAAGGATGGGTGTATGTGTTCCCTCCCTCTCTGTTTCTTTTTTTTCTTTTTTTAAATTTTTTTTCCTGCAAATTCTTCCAGATCCTAATCTCCCTGTCTGTTTCTGTGTGACATTTTCTCCTTTAGAGGAAGAAGCACATACTTCTCTGTAAAGCTTCCGAAATACTCTTTTCTTGGCCCATCAAGCAAATGATGACTAATTGTAATGCCTCAATCCAAGTCTAAAGCCAAAATCTGTACTCTCCAAAAGCTAGAAGATCTTACCTGAAAGCTCATTAAGAAACGTTTCTATTTGGAATGTTCTTTTTTACTTGTGGAATATGGAAGTGGGAAGAATGCCCTGAACTAAGCCTCGAGTTCTAGAACTTAGGATGAGGGCAAAGCCCTGCCTCAGATTCTGGAACAGAGTTAATCAGGGGCTGTTTTGAAAGCTGTGTCTAATTGGCAAAACTCTATGGTCAGAAGGTATATTGAGGGTCATTTAATTCAGCCTCTTACACTAAACATATCAAAAGATGTTGTCGAGACTCAAAATGAGTACTTCCAAGAATGAGATAATTCCCAGAATTAATCCTTCTCAATGTTGGAACAATTCTAATTAATGATAATTTTTGTTTTGTGTTGTTAGTGATTATTTTGTTTTACCCATATATGTTTATTGTTTGTTTCTTCACCATTCTTTTTTATACTTTGTTTCTTCCCTTTTCGTTGAATAGATGTATACATCCTTTAGATGTTTACTTCAGTGGGGATCTGTTAGTGGTAAACACTGTATTAAAAAATACTTTATTTCATCTTCAGTCTTGATTGATAGCTTAACTGGGTGGCAGGGTTCCAATTATTTTCTCTGAGCACTTTGAAAATGTTATTTTATTGAAATTCTGGCTTTTTATTGTTAACTCTTGTGAACTATGCTCATTGCTTCTCTGTCATTTGGCTAAGATCAAGTGGAGAACTATGCTCACAATTTAACTATTTTATTGTAGGTAACCTGTCTTTCTCTCTGGTTGTTTTTAAGATCTTCTTTGTTGTTATTTGTGTTCTGCGGTTTTATTACATGGTGTGAATTTAATTTTATTTTTCCTATGGATATCCAAACTGAGATTTTGTATCTTTCATCAATTTTGTAGAAATTCCCAGTTGCTACCTCTTTAAATAGTGCCTCTCCCAAGATCTCATATTTAACTGATGTTGGATGTTCTTATTCTGTCTTCCACATCTCTTATTCTTTCTTTCATAATTTACATCTCTATCTTTCTGTGTTAACTTCTGGGTAATTTCCTTATATGTATCTCCTAGCATACAAATTTACTTTTCAGGTAGGTCTAATTTGCTTTTTGAATCCCTTATTTTTATTAGCTAACTTTCTCATTTCTTTCTTTCTTTTTTTTTTTTTTTTGAGACAGAGTCTCACTCTGTTGCTCGGGCTAGAGTGCCATGGCGTCAGCCTAGCTCACAGCAACCTCAAGCTCCTGGGCTCAAGTGATCCTCCTGCTTCAGCCTCCTGAGTAGCTGGGACTACAGGCATGCGCCACCATGCCCGGCTAATTTTTTCTCTATATTTTTAGTTGTCCAGCTAATTTCTTTCTATTTTTAGTAGAGATGGGGTCTCGCTCTTGCTCAGGCTGGTCTCGAACTCCTGAGCTCAAATGATCCACCCGCCTCAGCCTCCCAGAATGCTAGGATTAGAGGCGTGAGCCACCGCGCCCGGCCTTAAGTTTTTAGAGGTATAGTCCTGCCATTGGTTGTAACTGACACTTGCTTTTGATATTATCTCAAGTACTTTGTAATTTTGGATTGTGAGCTCATCTTCAGAGGAGCATCATCTGTGGTAATCTTATGTGGCCTGGGTTGAGGTCAGTTTTCTAAAGAGCTTTTTATTTTTTTCAATCAAGTTTGTTTAGGTATAATTTATGTACCATAAACTTTTTTAATCTAAAAAGAGTTTTAGGCTGGTCCAATGGTAGTGGGTTATCAGAACGTATTAACATTAGTGTCACTAAAGTTGATATATAACTCCCCAATGCTAAATTTTACTGGCTAAAAAAAAAAAAATAGTTTTGGCAGATGTATACACGTGTAAAAAATGACCACAGTCAAGATCTGAGTATTCCATCATCCCCAAAAGTTTCCTCATGCTTCTTCATCTATGTTTCCTTTCACCCTGGTCTCAGGAACTCTACTGATCTGCTTTTTATCGTTACATGTTAATTTGTGTTTTCTAGAATTTTATATAAATGAAATATTACAATGTATGTTCTTTTGTACCTGGCATCTTTCATGTAGCATAATTTATTTGAGGTTTATCCATTCAGTTACATATATCAGTCATTTGTTACTTTCTATCGCTAGGTAGTATTTCATTGTATCGCTATATCATATTTTGTTTATCATTCACTGTTGATGGAAATTTGAGTCATTTTCAGTTTTTGGCTATTGTAAATAAAGTTACTGTGAGCATTCATGTTCAAGTCTTTGAGTGCACATGTATTTTCCTTTCTTTTTGTAGTGGCATGGCTGGGTTATATGGCAGATGTATGTTTAATTTTTTAAGAAATTGTCAGTTTTCCAAAGTAGTTGTGCCAGTTTATGTTCCTATAAACTGAATGCTCCAGTTGCTTCATATTCTTGTCAACACTTGATATTGTCAGTCTTTTTAATTTTAGCCACTCTCACAGAGGTATAATAGTATCTTATTATGGTTTTAATTCATTCATGTTTTCCTGATAACTGATGATGCTGAACATCTTCTCATGTGTTTATTGGCTGTTTTTATTTCTCCTAGAGTAGCTTTGTGTTTACTTCTGGTGGGCACTCCAGGCTTTTCCCAGCCTGGAACCAAAATGCTTGTAATTTTGCTCTGCTTGTAGATTTCTAGGCCATAAATGTTGTATAAAATTGAACTCCAAATCCACTTGTATACATACTTATGGTCTTGAATTCCTAGGCTTTTTCTTCCTACTTCATTAGGTGAGCAGGGCAAACTTCTTTATTTCCCTGTGGACAGATTTTTTTCCTTAGCCTGTCTTTTTGCTGGGTACAAACTTGTGGGTGTCAGCCTCTACAGGGGGATCTCAGTTGTCTTTTGTGGGCTTAAGATCTATCTCCTGGACCTATAAGCGTGCCATAAATTCCTCACACTGCTAGGATAGCTATGCCATCAGCTCACTAATCCAGTTTTCATTTCTTTGTTTCTGGTTCCTGGGATTTCCCTTACTTTCTTGTGAGCTCAATTTATCTATGTGTCAGTTTGGATCCATTCAGTAAAACAGAAACCACACAGTAGTTATTTTAATAGAATGAACTCTATAATAAAGGAAACTGGTTTAAACCCTTGTTTGGAGGGCTGAAAAAGCAAAAAGGGAATTTTAAAGTAACTTTGACATAAATACAACCTTATGCAGCTTTCTCATCTGGGACTGAAAAATAAAGGGAGGAAGGTTTGGGGTTATCACA